AACTGTGCCATGCGTTATGTATTTTATAGTCGTTACCTGTTCGTTATTTTAAGAACTTCGATGTTATGTATTTTATAATCGTTACATTAAGAACTTCGATGTTATGTATTATCGTAAATTTAAAGAACTTCGATGTTATGTATTTTATAGTCGTTACCTGTTCGTTATTTTAAGAACTTCGATGTTATGTATTCTCGTACTTTCATCGAAGCCTGAACGGAAAGATTGCTGGCTGCTTTGACCTGTGAACGCCAATTATAAAATCTATCGGGTCGGAGAGTGTCGTACGGACTATTAGGTCAAACGAGTCTGCGATCATAGCACACGGCACAGCACGGGTTCGGGCGATATGCTACAATCATGAATCGCGGCGATCAGCGTCCTTCGATGTGGCTTTACTTTAGTATAATTTTTAAAATATTTCAAAACCACATTTCCTTGCACGCATAACCGCGAAAACGAACACCAGTAAACTTGGGGCGAACCGACTTTGGGGCGAACTGACTGTGAGGCGAACTGACTGTGGGGCGAACTGGTCTGGGGCGAATGTGCATTGGGGCGAACTGACTGTGAATCGTTTTACTAAAATCATGAATGTACTAACATTCTAAAATGTACTTTTCAATACAAAATGACACAACAGCGCTCGGGACAACCACAGTCATTGTCAGTCCGTAAGAGTGGCCGTTTTTTGTTACAAAGACGATGTTTAAGTTGGCGATAGAATATAAAAAATGATCATTCCTACAATGTCGTGGCAGGGTTCGGGAGGTTATTTTTCTTGTATTTAAAAGCGCGAGCGTCGACATAGACCTGGGCGATACTTCTATCAGAGTTTGGTGTAGACAGTGGTTCTACAATAAATTGATGAAACAATGCAATTACCTCTTACGTAACCTCACGTATATGTAGACAGTGCCATAATTTATCGATATAACATTGACAACACGCTATAACTAAATCTTCGTTTATTCCCGGGACAGCATCAGTTCCTTGACCTGGCTCGTCCCAGGACTTAAAAGTAAACAGAAGACTGTCTTGTACGTGTAATCTCAATATATGTTTATTATGTGATTGTTTTAATTAATACAATAGTTTTAATCTGAATTTAGTTTATGTTTCCACAGTGAGCATTATATGGTGTGGATTTATCTTAGTTGTTCTACATTTAGGAGAACGAGTCGATGTGGAACGTCACTTCCTGTTTCAATTTTTCCGTCTGCTTGTGGCGTAATTTGGATTTTAAAACGTGGGTAAATATCCAACGTGGTTGTAAATTTTACACAGGTGAGGTGTAATATGACTTATATGAATATGTTAGATTTTGTATATTGTCCCTTCTTGACGAAACCACAACTTGGCACAAGGACTCGTTATGTTGTATATTCGCTGCAGTTGTGTTGCCTCAGTTTACATACATCTCTTAAACCGCAGTCCTCTCAAACGAAGCCTGTATGAATCCAAGAGCTTTATTTTTCACTGATTTTCCTGATAAGCGGATTTCACAATTACTCATTGATGGCATTTGCAACTGATACATAACATTTTAGTACCAGGTGCACAACTTGAATCCTTCGGATACCCAGAAACATTTTTAGGTAGTTGCACAGCCAATCATCATATAATTTTTAAAAATAACTTTTTTTTTTATTTCTAGTTTTGATAATCATACGATGAGAGAAGACATGATGGATTCCTCACCATTTCATCATGTACCTCAAACACCCTTACTTTTAACATCATTTCCGACACAATCACCTGTGCCAACTGTACCAGATGTAGACCATGAATCAAGACGGTTTTCAGTGGTTCCCTGCCAAATTAATTACACAGGTAATTTTTATCTTATATACTTTTATCTTATTCACATACACCACAGTATAAGTGAACTTAACATTTACCTAGATTTAGCTTACCTATATGTCTCATATCAGTAACTTAGACAAATACTACAAGAATTGCAAGTTTTTAAGAAAAGGAAAGGGGTTCCATCTGTCTAACGTCATTTTAAGACCCATTTGGTTTAAAATTGGTACAATGGCAAATCATAATGGTATACTATGCAAGTTGATTTGTTTTTAACTGGTGTCCATTTTTGTCCTAAAAATTCAACTCACAAAATTTGAACATGTTATACAAGGATCTGATTTTGTTCAAACTATTTTGTCTGAACTGACTCAATGGCTTTCTGTTACATAAAGATGGCCACATTGGAAGTCTGACTTCAGTAATGGTTTAAATTGTTTACATCAAATTTTCAGGTGTAAATCTAAATGCAAATGTTTTGTTCTGACTGCAGTCATGGGTCTTTGTCACCAATATCTCTGCGACTGTCTTTTATGTAAATGTAATCATTAGAATCATGGGTTTGGTAGCAAACCTTTTGGTAATTTTGCCCACAAAGTAAAATACAAAAAAACATAGAACAATGAAGAATAGTAGCGCAACAGGTGACAAAATAATTACAGTGTTGATTTACCTATTCACTTTTCAGCTCAAATTCACAACCATTATTACTTTTCAGCTCAAATTCACAACCATTATTGGGTTCAGGCAGAATTTTTTTGATATTGGGGACATTGGTACTCCGATTCCGACATTATAACTCCTTTTGCTTCTTGATTGCTGATGCTTTCCGAAAGTTTCATTTTTTCCATTGGAGATGCACGAAACGTTACATTAAAAGCCCAGAATATTTGGCCATTATTTTTCTTCTTGACTGCACTAGAAGTACATCCAGGGATATCATGCATTGGAATACAATGTATTGTATTGAGTGATAATGTTTGTATAGCGCCCTCAGTGGCAAGGTCAGTAGGCAGTGTTTATTTGGTTAAATCCAGAACCATTCATTGACATCAGATGTGACATTTCCTACTATTTCCATTTGATAGCTGATCTTTGAATTAAAACTGATATTCACAAGTGCTAGTAAACATGTATATATATATATATATATATATATATTTATTAGACGCAAAAATCCTTAGGAAAAGATAAAAATGGTCTTACAGAAAGAAATTTAAAAACTATAATCTAAAAAAAAAAAAAAAACCTATTCTAAAAATACAAAACAAATCAAAAACAAATATGAATAAACAATAAAGACAATTTGCAGCCAATGGTGAATACAGAATATAGAATGAACACAAAATGTTACTTAATACACTGATAGTTGTTGCTGTTTTGTTTCATAGCTGTTTTTTAAGAAGACAGCTAAGGCTCATGCTAGAGTATGGTTTCCCACAATCAATATGCACATGAACACAATCTCTTTAAAGATAAGCAAAATTTATTGTTTATATATCTAAGGTCAGTGCTTCATAAAATAGAAAGGAATTTAGTACATGTCTCTACTTGTACATTTTCAGATCAGCGGTTACCGCATACCCCAAAGCAGCACTATCTGCAGACAAATACTGGCAAGCAGACTGGCGCTAGGGTAAAGTCAATATCAAATAAACTTGGTAAGTCTTTAATAACCTAATTCAATTGCCCCAGGCAAGTGTTTATTGGAGGTGTGGCTATGCTAATGAGTCCTGTTAATCACCTGCATAGCCTATGTGTACAGAAACTCATAGTTTATATACTGTCTATGCTTTCATAGAGCACAGACCTGAGCTGCATAAGCATTCCGTAATGACAAGCTAATATGTAACGTGTTACAAAGTGATGTGGCATTGACCATTTCTTTGAATTACGTTTATTTCAACAATAGCATTCGTCTGAAATGCAGAATTGACGTATTATAACCATTTGCCACCCTCATATCATTGAACTACGAAGCCATGGCGATGACTATGATGCAAGTATGCTTAGGGTGCTGTCAAGCTCGCTACGGTCAACAACAACAAAAATATTCACTGCACAGCATTCACACTTTCACTGTCATAAATGCTGCTACTGATATGTTGCATTAGTAAAGATAATAAATATGAGACGATGCATCACTGCGTGCGAAAACCTGATTATGACTGACCACGGCCACTTATAATGCAAAATAAAACTGCTTTATGCCGACTAGTGTACATTTCCTAATGTGCACTAGGCCAGATAGACAAGGAAAGTTGGAACTTGTATTATCTAAAATAAATATTTTTAGTCATTTGTTCACCTACAGTGTCTGTAAAGGCAAGATTTAGTAGTCATGTTAAAAAAATTAATTTTAGAAAAAACAAAAATTGTCACGTTTTAGCTATGGGCCAGTGCCGGTGTGGACACACACAGTTACAGCATGGATTTGCCATTTTCTTAAACAACTGTAAAAAAAAGAAACTAAGAAGCCAGTAAATTATTTTGAGTCACATGTAACATTATTGGTCTGTCATCGTCAACTCTAGAGATTTCTGGTCCGAGGAGTCCAATTCCTATTTCATTTACCATCGTATTATAATTATACTTTATTTCAGACTCAAAGGTCCATAAAGAAATTACAACAGAAATTGCATTATTTATAAAGAAGGCGTCTATAATTACACCAAAACTTGACCTTAGGATAAATCACTATTTATACAACTATCAATTATACTATTGTCACTCTGAAACAATCGCTGTATAAAATTGTACAAAGATTTTCTATGAAGTGTTGAAAAATTGAAATTTAAAAAATTTTAAAATCAACCGAAGTGCATTGTTGTATGCTACACGC